AATGGTAAAGTATGAGAAACTTTTTCGTGAAAGAAAAGACAAAGGGTATATTTATACTCAGAAGCAACCGTCAAACAAAAAGATAATGATGGAAACGTCATTATGAAAAATGTCATTTCGTGATTGATGCAGCCGTAAAAAAACCCTAAAAAATGCTGAGGAACTGCAGAAACAATCGAAAGGCACCACGTGTCACATGTATTAAATGGAAGTGACATGCCAAGTGCCAGTTCAGAAAAAGGTATAATGGTATGTGACAACGGCAGCAAAAATTCCCGCTTTAATGAGATCCACTTTCCAAATATTCAATTGTTGAATAAATGGCAAGTGGGGGACTATTTGTAATGGTAAAAATCGAGTTAACATTTAGAATTAATTATGTGGCTGACAAGTCAAGACACGTGGATTAACAAAAGAGTAACAACTTGCAAAGAATACTCAAAGAGACGCGGGTCTTAATAGGTACATGCAAAGATTCAAGAAAACAAGAAGGAACAGTTACTCGGGTCTCTTGATAATTTGAAGAGACACCGGTGGAATGAACCAAAACAGCAAAAAGTACAGATACGTAATATCTGCAATTAATGAGCATAAATGATGGGGAATGTTATAAAATCTTCACGAAACAGTTACGATTGCCAATTATAACGTTTCATTAATGTCATTAATTGCTCATAATGGATCTATTATGAGAGGAAAGAAACAAGTACTTATAAATAGCTATAAAAAGGAGAGAAATAATATTTGTATGGACACACTGATTATTATTGAAATATACTTATTTACATTGCTTTATATTGCTTACTCGGCTACTTCTCAGTCCAATTTTATTTTTTGTTATACAATTATTTTTTTATTTGATGATCAGTAACCCGAGTTCTTCTAAAATTAGACTTTGACCGAAATTCCTATTTTTTTGTTAAACACAAACAAAGATGCTCATCATGTTATCTCTCTCTTGATACCTTATTAATAGTGTTTCGAACACCGCTAATATATTTCAAATTCACTATTATTCAGATATCTTTCCCCTTTGCCATGAACCTCCTTTGAAATTTTTATTTATTCTAAGTGCCGAACTTGTAAAATTAATTTTAGATAGTCGTCCTCCTTAGCATTTTTCTTCCGTAACAACTTATTGTTTTTAGCTGCATTCCACTTGGCTTTCTCACTCTTTGTTTCTTTCCAACACATTTAAAGAGAAGATTCAATTTTTTTACAATACAAGAAAAAATGCGATGGACAATAAAATTAAGGAGGTAAAAATTAGAGTTCGGAACTAAAATATGGTTCTTTTGGACTCAAAGAACAAAAATATGTGAAAAAAACTTAGTGACCAAGATATATATAGTATTTTTTTGAAGACACTATACTTTATGGCCGTTTGGCCAGTTAAGTATAGCGTCTTTTTAAAAGACACTATATATATATAGCATTCTTTACTGAAACGCTATACATATTAAGTGAGCTCACAAATAATTATTCTGTGCTTAATTTACATAACAATAATTCAACTGGGTATAGCGTTTTAAGCTAAGGCGCTATACCTTAAATAATTGAACCCCCCGACTGGCTTTTGCCTTATTTAAAGAGGTGAAGGATTTTTGTAAAAAATCCATTCATAAACATTTTCAAGTCTTCGGAAATTTTTCTTTGTTAAGTTGTTTTGCAATTTGTCATAATGTTTGAAGAGCGAAGAATTATGATCTCATTATATAGGGGGAGGGGGGGTTGAGGTTATTGTGGCGAATAACTCAGTTAGCTATAGTTTATATCCATAGTCTCATGTTAAGTTGCCACTTACAATGGAGTACGATAAATTGGTATCATTGATATGTAATAAAATGAGTATGAGCAAATATTCGGTGAATCTTAAAATAATCGGAAGATATCAGTATTCTGTGACTCGGCAAGGGGTTGCTTGTTATGATGAGTTTAACATCGAAGATGATGAAACTCTGAGAGATTTTTTGGGGACTCCAGATGAATACTGGAAATTTATTGTGATAAAACTGTTGAAAATGTATGTCAAGGCTGAAGACATTCGCAATAATGAGGTTGCTCAAAGTAGGAAATCCATCAATCATCGGGTAGTTATTTTGGAGCAGTTTTAGCCGAACAGGTTCCGGCTTAAAGAGTTTGGCCGGATCTAAACTTATCTCCACGGGCGAATAGGAGCGAGGAAATAATTTCTCCCTTGGTATACATAATCCACAAGTCGAGTGGTAAAATTTTCCTTTGTGTTACGATGTATATTTTTGTGTATTGTATTTGTATTAACACTCATATATTCCACAGGGGGTACCTACCAGATATGAATTTTACAAGTTATGAACCAACAGCCAGATGGAATATGCCTAGTTTTGGTGTGTTGGATCATAGTGGTCCATTCAGGAGTCAGCATCAACAGGATAATGTGCATCATGAGATATCAACATATTATGATTTGTAAGTGAATATATAAAGTTATATGTATTGTTTGGACAAATTTCAGTAATTCATTATTTCTTTGGTTGTGCAGTGAAAACGAGCAACTTAATGGTCTTGTCCTCTCTCAATTTCCCAAAGACGATGTATTTACTCGGGATATGGCAGATGCGTAGAGTCAGGAAGAGAATAGTGATTATGACATCAATGCCGATGAGTTTGGAGATGACACACCCTTCCCTAACAAGGGTGATGAGGAGGAGGAAGAGAATGCCGAACCTGATTTGATGAGGGAGCATGCTCCACCTCCCGTTAGACCAAAAGTGTGCGAGTCCCACGTGCCGTTTTATTCAAGGCATATTCCCTACCTTGATCATTTGTCAAGTATATCAGATATGGATGCCCTCACAAGGGATATTGACGAAATTCGGACAACAATGTGGGATGAATCTAGACCAACGGTGCTGTCAAAGGGCATGCTTTTTCCTGATAAGGTGCGCCTAACCAGCGGGGTGAAAATGTACAACAAGAGTGTCGTGGGATGACGGTATGGGAGTCATCTCCAGATGTATACAAGGTTGTTTTCCATAGATGGTTTGTGGGTTGTAATTGGATATTGCGTGTGATAAAGAAGAAGACAAATATGTGGAAAGTGGGTAAATACATTGGTACCCACAATTGTGAAATGGACACATTCAACGAGAATCACTTCAACTTGGATGCTAACTTAATTTCTCTTGTCTTGATTCCATACATTGAAGCGTCCATAAGGTACAAGATCAAAGAGTGTATTATATCCGTCCACCAGGAATATAAGTGTACTATTACCAAAAGAAAGGCATAACTCGGGCGCAAACATGCATTTGAAATTGTTTATGGTGACTGGGATAAGTCATTTGCATCTCTACCCAGGTACATGACCGCATTGCAACACTTTAACCCCGAGACTATTGTTGAATGGAAGCTTAACGATATTTTTACTATATTGTTAATTAGGTTGATACATTTTTAATATTATAATTTTATATTTTATACGTTCGTTTATTATGTTAGTTTTATTATTTTATATGTTTGTTAGTCATTCACCTATTTTTTACTATACATGATTTAATTATTAAATATTCACATTTTGGTTCCGGACACAATATTTGAGGCCCAATAGCACCAATGTATCCTGAATTCTTATGTTCATAATGAGAATTTTTTTTCAATTTTTCATTCAACAGGTCTGTTATTTTATATGTTAGTTTATTGTATATGTTAATTTTATTATTTAATATGTTAGTTTTATTATTTTATATATTTGTTTGTTTGTTACTGATTTATTTTTTACTATATTAAATAAAATAATTAATTTTCATAATTATACAAGATTTAATTATTAAATATTCATATTTTGGTTCCGGACACAATATTTGAGGCCCAGTAGTACTAATGTATCCTGAATTCTTATGTTCTTATGTTTGTTGACTATAATTGGAGATAGTTTGTGTTTGAATTATCAGTTTTGACGTATTTTTGGGAATAAGAGATAGTTAAATGATTAATTTCTATAACTACAAGGATACTACGCTAAAGGGCACTACGTTTTACTACGCTAAAATGTCACTACATTATAAATACGAGTACTATATTAGGCCACAAGATACCATTACAGGGAACTAAAGTAAAAATTTATCTAGTTTACTAATCTTTTAGCAAATTAATAATCTAAACCGGATAAAAATAACAAATCAATTTAATCACAAAACAATCACGAAATTACATATACCACAGTAAAAAGTAACTAATTAACATTTTTTAACAACTAATAACAATTTCTCTATTTTAAATTATTTTTAGCACATTAATACTATAGTCCAGATAAAAAATAACAAATTAGTTAAATCACAAAATAACATAGAGCACATAAAAAACACCTAATATATATTTTTAATAAAAACTAAGTCGAAATACCTCGATTTAAGATTTTTAGAAAGTCGAAGATTTTGTGATTTGGCACCGAAACAAACAACAGCGTCCTAGATAACGCCTTAGCTAGTACGTGGGACCGAGAATCTTTACTTTTTGTGGGACGGGTGGGCTCCACTCAAGCTTTTTTGGTTTAAAAATTGGGTGGGGGAGGGGGGACGATTCTGTTTGGAGGAAGGGAAGGAGACAATATATTTATATGTATAACGTCTTTTGTTAAGACACTATATATATAACGTCTTAACAAAAGATGCTATAGTTTCTCGCTTAAATTAATTCAAATATAGCGTCTTTTTAAAAGGCGCTATACTTAACTGGTCAAACAACTGTTAAAGTATAGCGTCTTTCAAAAAAATGCTATATATATTTTGGTCACTATTTGTTTTCCATATATTTTTGTTCTTTGAGTCCAAAAGAACCACATTTTGGTTCCGGACTCGTAAAAATTAGATACTTAATTATGCGAAGAAGAAAAATGTGTGTATCCCCCCATTAATTTTCAAAAAACTTGGGACTACTTTAACATTTATATTTAAGTTGCGGGGTTAATGAAGCAAAAATGGTTTTTCACTCCCATTAAAGAAAACCAAAAGGCAAGTTCGACGATTAGTTCCGGTTGTGCACCGTAGTTGGTAGGGTTTAAGGCGGCGGAGGAAAGATGAAGCCGGTGGTGGGAACAGTAGTGTCAAACAAGATGCAGAAATCAGTAGTGGTGGCTGTAGATAGACTCTTCCACAACAAGCTTTACAATCGCTATGTGAAGCGCACCTCTAAATTCATGGCTCATGACCAGAACGACGAATGCAACATCGGCGACCGCGTATGTAATTATACATTTTTTGTTTATTTCTCTCAGGAAAGTTTCTAGCTTGATTTGTTCTTAACTTTGAATAAGATGTTGAGTTATTTAATGAAATTTGTAAACTCAGGTAAAGTTAGATCATTCAAGACCATTGAGCAAGCGTAAGCACTGGGTTGTTTCTGAAATTTTGAAAAGAGCTAGAATTTATGTACCTCCACCAAAATCCAGCTCTGAGACTGACAGTAAGACGGGAGTGTCTGCCAATGCTAATTAGAGCAGAAAGTTTGGGCACAAATTTTAGGTATTTGCAGATCTTTTGCTTATCTTCTAAAGTTTTCTATGTTTACAAATTTGAGATATTCATGGTGGTTCAAGCATTAAGTATTTCTTTTTGTGCTTCTGATTATCATTTATTCATTTTTACCAAGTGTATTTTGAACACGAAATATCTATACTCATATAACACATGTCATACACCTTTAGATTTGTCGTCAAATCAAATAAAGAGTTGATGCAACGTAGGACCAGACTAAATACATTATGAAGTCAGGGGCGGAGGGAGAGTAGAAGCTACGGGTTCGACCGTACCCGGTAGCTTTGGTCCAAACCATATGTTTGTCTTAAGCAGAGGCGGACACAGGATTTGAGCAAGACGGGGCACACCACTGTATGCTAATCACCAGCGATATATATATATATATAACCATATGTTTGTCTTAAGCAGAGGCGGACCCAGGATTTGAGCAAGACGGGGGCACACCACTGTATGCTAAATTATCGCTGGTGATTAGCATATATATATATAGAGAGATTTCTCCCCAAAATGGGTACTATGAGAAGAGAAAGAATAAAATTAATTAAGTTGACTATTGTGTATTAGTACTAAACTATAAATGAAATAAAAAAGAAGAAGATAAAAGTAAAAAAAAAAAAAGCAATTTGTTATTAAATATAAATTATATTGTATTCAAAGAACTAAAATATTAATAAAGTTGACTATTATATATTAGTACTAAATTATAATTGAATTTAAAAAAGAAGAAGATAAAAGTAAAAGATAAAGCAATTTGCTATTAAATATAAATTACATTTTACTCAAAGAATAAAAATAAAAAGAGGAGAAAAAAGCTAAAGGGGAGTTTCGAACCAACGTCCTCATCATATTTGGGAATTAAAGGGCCCAAAGTAACCACTTCTCCCATCCACCTCTTTGTTTTAGGGGGCACACTTAAAATATTTAAGGGGTCCCATATATATGTACAAATATATATAATATGTATATACAGGATTTATGCTGAGGCTAACGGGGTCACGTGACCCCTCAAGCCACCATGTAGGTCCGCCTCTAGTCTTAAGTAATTCATTGAATATGTACAAATTATTAATGGAACCCATACGCATTAAATCCTGGCTCCGCCTCTGTGTGAAGTACCTTAGATTGGGAACTTCCTGAGCATATGAGGGAAGCTTCATTTTCCAAATAGCTTAATGCCCTGAAATCAAGCTAGATAATGAGAACTGTACACACTTTACCTGCCTGTGAAGTGATGACATGACATTGGATTATGCAAGTTCTCAGATTCAAAATGTGGAGCAGAGTTGCAAGCAGCATTCTAGTTAGCATTTGTGAACTCTGTTCATCCATCTGGCTTTTGTTGTGTGAGATAAGCATACCATTGATATGACTAAAGACAAATTTATCATGCTACCAATTTCTGCCAGATTTTTTTGTTTCAGTTTTGTTTGCATAACTGATAGGTAATTTGTACTTTACTTGATCCTACTGTTGCTAATCAAAGCTGAATTCAGAATCTATCTGCTTTAGATTCAATAAATTGAACATCTAGATTTCGTTGTCCAAACTGGGTTTTTTTCCCTATACGATTTTGTTATCAACATATAACCTCTGGATGCTGCAGCTAATACCAAAACTATTATCTTCAAATTTGAATTATGTGTGAAGGATATTAGTGTATCATGAAGCCTAGGCATAATTTCTTCCCTGCAGTCGAGCATATTTCTTATAACTTCCTTTTTACTGCACTGCACCTTTTGTGTTTCTCTTTCCCAACACAGTTCTCTTTGTTCCTTTTATCCCTCCAAGTCCTACACTGCCTATCTCAGAAAGTTGGTGGGGTGGTGGGGAGGATGAAAAGGACCAGAAGACTGAGTTGTTTGAGTATATTTGAAATTATTATTATTGACAAATGAGCCACATTGCAATGTCATCGAGTTATTTGAGAAGTATTTTTGAAATTATGTTGTGCTATATTATTAACATGTGAGCAAATGTGCCATCTTCTATAAACTTACGTGATCGCCTTGTTCATCAGGTGAGAGCTCGACTCAATTTGACAGCTCCAACTTTGGAATGCAATCCAAAGAGCCGCACACATTAGCGAAGGAGGATCTTTGGTTGTTCTTCTGCATGAGGATTCAGGATGTTGATTGATGTATTGATTGTATTGCTGTACTGAAAGGATACACAGTTATCTGTTGTGTGGCAATTCTCTGGGGGGATATTGCAGCTTTTTTTGAGTTTGGAATAAAGTCACCAGCCTGCTTATATTCTTTATGAGCACTCTGTCACCTAAATTTTCTACTACTTTTTATGAGCTCAGAAAATTCAGTTGGTTAGAATATGTCATAAACAAGCATTAAACATTAAGCCAGAGGTTAGCTTGCATGTTACTCTGAACTTGAGCACATATGGTCTGCTTAACATATGCATAAACAGAAACTTCAACAGCTCTTACATCCTGCATGGAAAGAAAAGAAAGGAATCCAGAGGTCAGTTTTCAAGTGATTTTTCTGGTTGGAACATATAGCTTTAAGAAAAGCTTTTCAGTTATTATTAATGATTAACTCGTTTTATTTTCTTCCATTACCCATCAAAGAAAAGGAATAGACCTTAGTTTGTGTAGCTTTCAAATTAACTACAATTAATAACGGTTCTTTAATATGCAGCATATAACAAACGCTCGAGTCCAGAACGAGCTCGGACAATTATAGCTATGGCATGTAAATAATGCAAGAGCTTTATATATGTTAAATAAAGAAGTAAACTTCACATAACTAGTGAATTTACAACACGGTGATGTGATAAGCTGTATTTATTCTACGGTGTAGGGCTGGGCATATATCGGGTATAACCGATAGCCCGAACCGATAAAATGCTATTGGTTATCGAAGTCGGGGTTATTGGGTAAATAGTTTCACAACGGTTTAATGTTATTTGACTATTGGGTTATCAATTCGGGTCTCGGTTTGCACTTTGCCCAGTTTAATAACGGTTTAACCGATAGCTCAATAAGTTTTAATAAAATTATAATTTTACCTACTAAATATATAAAGTCACCTTATGGCTCCATTCTCTCAATTCTCTCGGCAATTACTCTTCATCTTCAGACCTTAGCTTTTAGAGTAAGTTTTAAACTTTTCTGAATTTCTCATCTTAATTCTTCAGTTAAGATTGTTAGTTTTAAACTTTAAACAATTAATTGTTAATTTTTTTTAATTTTTCTATTTGTTTCTTTTGTTGCACTGATTCTTTAGTATTTACAAGATTAGGATTTTTTTTTCTATGAATTATGCCCACCCGCAGTGAGATAGTTAGTAATATTAGCTTGTTGAATGTCTTATTCCTTACTCCTACTAACTTAAAACTTTGAAATTTGAGATCATTCATTGAGATTTTTAAATGCAAAGAAAGTTTCTTTTCTAAAAATGAAATTTAATCCCTCTTTTTTAAGAACAAAAATTCAGTTCCATTCTCTTAACAGTATGATCACGATTTCTACTAAAAAACATGAAATTTTTAGATAATTTTATTCTTATCGGGTAAACCGATTACCGAACCGATAAGGGTCAATAACCGACTAACCGATACCCGATATCTTATCGATTCGGTTATCGGTTTAGCATATTTATAAACCGATAACCGATATGCCGAACCGATAACATTCACAACCGAACCGAACCGATTGATACCCGCCCCTACTACGGTGAGAACCAAACCAGTAATAAGCTAGAACTAGACAATATAAAGGAGTAGTCCGGTCACAAGGCATCCCGCATTCACGCAGAGCCTGCAGAATGGCCGCACCCCAAAAGATAATGATGTAGATAGCATATTCTAATGCAATCATTAGTGGCTGTTTCCATGGGTTGAACCAGTAACATACAAGTCCACGTAAACAACTTTATCGTTGCTCACTAAGACAATGTAATTAATCAATTATAATGAAGGAACACGGCTTCTTATTATATCCAGGTCCTCATGACCATAGGTGGTAGCGGAGGTCTCCTCCGACCTGATTTTGGCTTGGGCTTGGAACTTTTTTGCTATATTATCTATATTCCTCTTTAGTCACCTGACCCTCATATCTGTCTGTTCCTGCACTTCCCTTGTGGAAGGGAGGCATCTGCAGTTTTTTTGACAAGCTCACTTCAGATTTGGCATAAGGACAGCTATTTGACCTATACTAGAATGGCTTCTTCTTGTCAGATTCTTCTTCAGAGTCAAGTGCATTGCATGATGTGACGGTGCTGTTAAATTTTCAGCTTCCTTTTGTGCATTAAATGGACAATATGTGCTCAATTTTAACAAACTCAAAGGATTATGTGCGATCAAGATTATATAATAAGGACAAAGACTTGCCCAAACATAAGAAGAATTTTGATTAAAAACTCTATTTCTTAGTGCCCCTGGTCTTTCGAGTTGTTCAAGACTCACAAATCAAAATGTTAAGCAGAGCATCAGATCATCCTTTTCTCATACTTTCTCATTGAGCTCGCACAAACTCAACCCCTTTCATGGGAGTGCAGGCATGTGACATATCTAATGTGCATCAATCTTGAATCATGATTAGTTTTTGGAAACTGAAACTAATGCACCCAACAATAAACCTTCTAATCTAACAGTCAATCTTACCTCTACTCTTTGGGTAGCTGCAATTCTGAAGATGTGTGCCATGGGCCTATTACTAGAATTTACCCATTTTTCAATATTCTTCCCTTGCAGTGAATGTCACCGCACAAAGTCAACCTATCCAGCTCAGAGTTGTTGAGCGCTCAGAAGGATTACAATATCTATTCATCTAACTCAATTCTGCTGAACCCGTAGCTTTTTCTCAGCTTTCTTTCTTTCATTTCTCGCCTTACATCTTCCACTCCAGGCCAGTTTTCGGATTCAGCATATACCAAGCTTAATAAAGCAAAATTAGCAGCATTTCCGGGTTCAGAGTTGGTGAGTCTGTGAGCCAAATGTTCTGCAACTTCCAGTTTTCCATGTAATTTACAAGAAGCAATCAGGGAACTCCAAATTCTGTTGCTAGGTTTCATAGGCATTCTGCTAATGACTTCACTAGCATCTTCTAGCTTACCTGCCCTTCCCAGGAGATCAATGTAGCAAGCATAGAGCTCCACAGTCATTGAGAAGCTCTTATCCTCTGACGCTTCATCAAAGAGCTTCTTTCCCTCCTCAAAAAGACCACTGTGATTACAAGCTGATAAAACTGCAAGTAATGCAATGGAATCAATCTTTATCCCACTCTCTTTCATCTCATGAAAAAGTTCCACAGCTTTATCTCCAAAACCATGAGTCCCATAAGCACTGATTAGCGCACTCCATGATGCAGAATCTCTTATAGCCATCTCTTGGAAAACTTGAGCAGAGTCCTTAAGAAAACCACATTTTGAGTACATATTTATGAGGGAGTTACCAATGAACAACTGTGAGTTAAGACCACTTCTAAAAACATAACCATGCAGTCCCCTCCCATGGCATACTGATAACAGATTAGTACAAGCAGAGATTACTGCCAATAAAGTAACATCATTCAGTCGAATTCCACTCAGCTGCATCTCATTGAAAAGCTTTATAGCTTCTTGACAACTAGATTTACTTCGAGAATAGCTCGTTATGATAGCAGTCCACAATACCACATCTTTTTTAGTTGAACGATCGAATATCTTCTTTATACCCCGCAATGCTTCCCCACATTGAGAATACATGTGTACAATAGCAGATGAAAAATGAGAGTCCGAGTCGAACCCATGGCGAAATGCATAACCATGAATCTCTTTTCCATACTTTTCTGCACCCAACTCAGCACAAGCTGGTAATATACTAGTCAATGTAACTCTATTTGGTTTAACATTTTCCACCTGCATTTCGCGAAATAATTCAAGTGCTTCGATGTACAACTCCCCAGCTATGTATCCAGATAGCATTGCAGTCCATGATACCTCGTTTCTCACTTCCATTCTCTGAAAAACATGGTAAGCCGAGTCCGGCGCACGACATTTCCAATAGAAGTCTACCAATGCAGTTAGAAAGAAAATTGAATTTTCTATTCTTTCATCAACTATTGTAAGAGCATGCATAGCTCTTCCTAGTCTCAAATTCTTGGTCTCAACACATGCAGATAAAATGCAAGCCATTAACTCAGGCTTTGGCGCAAAACCCTGTACATACATCTCCTTAAACAACTCCAATGACTGAAATAAATACCCATTTTGATAATAGCAATTTATCATGGAATTCCAGGATATGGTATCTCTATTCGGCATTGTATCAAACAGTTGGTATGCAGCTTTTGTATCGGAGAATTTTGCATACATTGATATAAGAGAATTGGATATTGTGGATTCTGAAGAATACCCATTTTTAAGGACATAGCAGTGAAGCTGACAGCCGAAGAATTGATGGGCTTTCGTATGAGCACAAGCCTTGATGATTGAAGGAAGAAGGAAGTTGATATTTGCATGGCAGTTGGAAAAGCAGTGAGCTTTTGCACTGTAAAGCTCAAGCGCTTGATCATATTTTCCCTTCAGAACCAACTGTTTGATCCTGTTGTGAATATCTGATGATGATGATGCTAAAGTTGATAGTGACCGTCCGATTAGTTTTCCCATTTTACTATTTGTCCAAACTGATTACTTCTCTCGGCCATTTCCAGTCCAGCTTCTCTGGGCAAGTTTCAGACCATCTTTAGCATGATTTAATTGTCTACTTATCAACAACTAGGGGTGTTCATGTTTGAATTGGTTTTCCCCCTTAAAAGTAAATCAAACCAACTGAGTCCGTTTCGCTTTGCTCATTTAGAGTAGCCGATAAGCATTAGGTGCTGAAAAGCACTTTTAAGTGCTGAAACTGATTTAAAAAATAAGTAATTACGTGTTTGGATAAAAGTGCTGAAATTAATGATAAACATATGGAGAATTGGGTATACGAAGAGTTTTGTTTTAAAAAAAAAGTATTTTAGGGATAGAATAGTAAATATTTTGGTCAAACCTAAAGTGCTTATAAGCTGGAATTTGATAAGTTAGGGGAGACTGACTTATGGCTTTTGACTTATTTTTGGCTTATAAGTACTTAACTTATAAGCACTTTTAATTTTACCAAACGCGTAGATAAGCCAAAAAATGCTTATAAGCCAGTTTGACCAGCTTATATGTTTAGCCAAACACCCTCGAAGTCAGTTTTTTAAATATTAGAACCAACAAATCAATTTTATCAATTCGATTTATGTTAATTTTTATCAGTTTTTCAATTTTTATTGACTTTTTTCATAAAGATATTTCGGCGACTATTTTTATTATCACACTATTAAACCAATTGATTTTTGAGAAATCTATCACTTACCAAAATATATTGATGATAATTGAATTAAATAGTGACGAATAATTTAAAGACTCAATTAAAAATAAATTATTTTTAACATGAAATAGATTCTCGTACTTAGCAAAAGAAAACCACAACTAAAATGTAAAGACAAAGAACTAGATTATCATACTAACAAAGAACTAGATTAAAAGTACAAACGATTAATATGTACCAAAAAATTTTAAAAACTTTATATAAAAATATACATATATATAGGTGTAATAATAAATTTTAAATAGCTACTTCTATAGTCGGTTTGGTTCTGTTTTTTCGGTTGTTTCTTTATTTAAAACCAAAATCAAACCAAACCAAAAGAGTATCAATTTTTTTGGTCGGCTTAACTCAATTTCCGATTTGGTTCAATTTTTCGGATTGTTATGAACACCCCTATGTATCATATTTTATTGTAGTTAATAACGGACAGGATATGTACTGTACAGATGGTGAAGATAAGAATTTAGTCTAAGGGTGTTCAAAAAAAATGAAAAACTGAACCAAACTGACAATCAAAACTGATTTCAAACCAACATGCTCTATAATTTAATTTCTTTAATTTTTTCAATTTTAAAAAGACAATATTTGGTTGGGAAAAGTTGTATAGACATATCGGAAACGTCTTCTAAACCGCCCCATTCATCCAAAAGAGAATGGAAGGGACCTATGTATTTGCATGAACCCTGCAGATTTAACCCCTATCTACACTCCCGTAGCAATTATGTCACCACGCTGCAGAACGGGAGCTCGTGTAGAACCTTTTATTTTGGCCTAACGGCGGCTGAACGCAACAAAATTGCTTGAATTTTGTATCTTCTATATTGAAGTTATTAAGGAGTGATTTATGTATTATTATAATTACTCCTATTAAGGTTAAGATAAGCTTGAGATTTATAAATCGATGTTAGGTTATTTGATTTATTAGGGAAAATAATTGTCACATCACTAAAAAGATTCTCATATATATTTGATATTGGTCCATATCCATTAAGGAATTAGGACATCTTCAACCTTTACCTTATTATTTTTGGTCTCCATAATGAGAATTTTCCCATTTTGAGAACAACTTAACTCCAACCATTCCCCTATTTTTTCCCTCAAAAGAGAATATTCTTTTTTATATTCTTCTCTATCTTATTATATTATTATCTTTCATTTCAATTTTATTTTTTACTTTCCATTAAACAAATTCCATCTTTTATTTTCATTAATTTGTAATTTCCATTAAAACAATTCCATAAAATTTAAATAATATAATTTGTAAGCAATTATTATAGATTAACTAATAATTCAAATAAAAGTGAAATCATTGCAATACAAGATTAATTAAATACATATTACATAACGATAAAATTCATTCGAATTACTACATCAATATTCATTTGCACCATTCATTTTTTTAGATGATTATATATTTTTTGTACAATTATAACTTATAATAAAATTAACTTACAATTTTACATAAAAATAATAAATGCACGAAAATTAATTTATCATAATTATACGCCAAAGTTAAAATGTAAAATTAATATTATAAAGATACTACATAAACATAATTAAGTATATATAAAAAGATAAATTAAAAGAGTTAAATAATAAAATAATAATAAAATCTGTATGAACAATATGTGGGTACACTAGGGCTGTGCACGGATNNCAATATAGCTAAATCTAGCAATTGTAAAGGTAATAACTTGGAGGTTGATGTAAATTAAAGTGTAGTATTTATACATGTCCTAATAATTTCGGATTTCAGATTGGATTGGATTAAAATATACCAATCCGAAATCCGATCCGAAATCCAAAATTTTAATAAACATAATCCGAAATCCGATCCAATCCGAAATCCGAAATTCAAAATTGAATGGATCGGTTCGGATTTCGGATATCCGGTCCGAATGAACAGCCCTAGGGTACACTATTCATCCCCCATTTTGGGGGCAAAAATGGGGAAAGGTTGGAGCTTCATTACCCTAAAAATTGCCCCCATTATAGAAAAATGGGGTAAGGTTGGAGATGGCCTTAACGGATAATACAAACTTCGAAAGCATTTAACAAAAGCAAGATTGTGAAGGGAAGACATGTCTTTCAGCGAGAAATGACGTGATTCGTGTAGAGATTTTAACATTATAAAATATACTAATAATATAAATATTTTTTTTACGCGATCAGTGTATATAAGTTAAATCCAATATGAAATGAGCTTCTAAACAAGGAAACATTATGTTCCTAATGCAAAGAGCTTCTAAAGAAGACAAATCACTAACGTATGGTACATTGAAGGGTAACAACTATTTCTATAACAAATTAGATAGCTAGAAAAAATAGGTGTAAAACGTCACAAAATTGTCCATAGCAAGAGAATCAGAGACAATAAAATCCGTGTATAGGCAAGTTTTGGTTCTGCACCTCCATAGTATGGTTCGATCGTGATCCCAAACTTACAACTTGGCGTAGATGGATCCGACTTTGTGATTGTCCCAAGCCCTGAGAACTTGCAGGCATCGTCGAGCTGATCGTTTATCTGATAGTAGCTGTTGAATGCATATGAAACATTTCCTCGCGCATCCAGGCCTCCACATGATGTCCCATAACCAAGGCTTGTGCAATCAGCACGCGCGCAAGCATAACTCACACTAGGCGCAATCTGGGGGTCATCAAGCTTAGCGTCAGGCTTGAGCACACACCATTTTCTTTCCAAATACTTCACATTACTAGCTGGAACTAAAGATCCTGAATTTGTAGTGCCAAGGTTAAGTAAGTATTTTGGTCGCCCATCATAGGCGAATATTCCCCAGTGACGTTCGAAATTCCCAGGTTGGATACTTTTTGCATCCTCGTCAATTAAACTAAACAGATAGGCATCAACAGGCCCAGGCCTCATAGGGGTGCCTTTTCCTTCTGATATATGAGCCATGAACCCTTGGTTGAAACGCTGCGCTAGTTGTAGGTTAGCATTGCGGTCCCCATCTGTGGGCCAACCAATTTCTCCGACTATAATAGGTAAGTTCCCGAACCCATTCTTCTTTAAAGCCCACACAAGAGTGTCATGATTTGCATCAAACATGTTGGTGTAGATTGTCCCGCCATCGTTTAGAGGTGTTGCATTTCCATCAAAGAACGCATATTCAACTGGAAAGTTGGAATCTATATAGAGGCTTATGAATGGGTAGATATTGATTGTAAAAGGGCAACCATTATCGCTTAAGAACTTGACTATTTGGATCACAAAGTCATGGATCTCAGCTCTAAAATCACCACCGGATGGCAAGCTACTGGCACTCTCATAAACATCGGCATTGAGGGGGACGGTGACCTTCACTTGATTACCATGGCCAGCCTTTACGAGTGCAGTTTGGATATTTTGTAGAGCAGGAAAAGTTGTTCTTAGGTAACTTCCATTATATGTTTCTAAGAAAGGCTCATTTCCAACTGCAACATACCTACAAAGTCAAAAGCAGTGTATGTACACATTGAGGTCTACGCTTATAATACAACTTATACTAAGTCAAGGTGATTTAATTCAAGTAGAGGTCATGGTCTTGCATACAATACACAGAACAAAACAGAACAAGAAGCAGAGAAGAAAAAAAGAACAGGATATAATCAATCTTGTTACTATGAGTTCAGTGGAATACTGTCTCTTGAACCCCGGCAACCATAGTTGATTGGCATTCACTCTCTAGTAAAGCTTAATGCACATGACACATAACCTCGTCGTCCTCCAGGAGTTTCTTATACTTGAATTTACAAACAGAATTTGCTCACAACTTTACATAGATGACAAATCCGACTTCTTTGATCCACACCCATGTCGGGTGCCCAAACACGTATCCAAGCAACATAGTCAGATAGAATGCGATACTTTCAATTCTCAAACCCACAAACTATAGCAACCTTGTTAAGCTCAATCAATTATCAACCTAGTTTATGAGAATTTAGAGTTTGGCCTATGCATTAAAAAGGTAGGTCCGTAATGCTTAGTCACTCGCCAATACGCTGAAATACGACTCCCCCAACTCAGGGACAGAGCTAGTATTTCGGGCGAACTCAGTAGCTTTTGCTTATACCCTGTATTTGTGTAAGGAAATCAATTAAACATATATAAATATTTAATTGTGAACCCTTTAACTAAGACGAGTTATGAATTTAATTACAAATTAAAAATCCATAAACTTCAAATCATGGCTCCGCCTATGCCCCAACTAGTATGTAGCCAAGCTCATTGTCTATGAGAACTTTTTCATACAGAAATGTGAAATATACATAATGCTGGCAAATATAGGTGAGAGAGGTTTACCTGATGTTCACATTGTTGTCAGAAAGATGGACAGAAACATTCTTGGAAACCCATTTCTCAGCAGCTTTCAAGCTACCCAAGGTTGTTAGCATGTCATTAGGAATACCAACCATAACTTCAATGTCAGAATTGCCCAAAGCCTTAAGTGTATCATAATCAGCATCAAAAAGCTTAACCTTTTGGAACCCATTGTCTTTTAGCATTTTGACTAGTATCTCAGGAGGCAAATTGTGTGTTGATTGAGTGCCCCAATTGGCACCTATCCCACAAACTAAATGCAATATGGAAACCATTGACAAGGTTACAAGACATAATACCCCAAATGACTTAGAAAAAGCAAAAGATCGCATTTTGCCAATAACCTCTGCTAGATAACACCACCCCAAAAACAAAACAAATTCAAGAGCTAAAGAAAGTTCTTTTCTATAACCAAGTGAGCTCAAGCTACAAGATTGAGAGTCAGCAGAAACTAAATCAATAACAAGAAAGAGTCCAGAATGGAACTATAGCAAAATAGAGCTAGATATTATACAAAAATTCAGATACAGATAAGGAAAAAGGCAAGATTTTTAACACAGAAATACATAAAATTCACAGACTATATTTAGCTAGCCTATTATTCCACTTCCAAACAGAAAAGTGAAGTGATTATTTTGAAATTATAGAGGGAAGGAAAGGGAGAAAGGAGTCGGAACTGAGAAAGCAGAAAGAGCAACTGACCAATAATGTACTAGAAATTTCAAGCTAAACACAAAAAAGTTTTTCTTTTTATTATGAGAAAGGGTAACTAAGAAGAGAAAGAGACTTATCTAGAAGAAACAGAAGTGGACAAAGTGAGTCATCACAGACATAATGAAGAGTTTAAGGATCTAGATTCTTCTATCCTAGTCAATAGCTAAGAATCACTATCTTCTCTTCTTTCCTTTAGCTGAATCTTTCTATCTTATCAAGTCTAAAGAGAGTGTGCGTCCGTGCAATTCTTTTTTTTATTTTTCTTTGGCAAGTTAAATGTACAATTTTTTTTGGCAACTTGAGTAAAATAAATCTTGTTAAAAGCAAAATGTGAATAAGCAGAAAAAAACAATCACAAATACAGAAAAGGAAATAAAGAGAAGTGCATTCATGACGTTTTCGACCCAAAGCTGCTGGCATTTTCTGAAATATAGTAAGCAAAGCCCCTACTTCTGAGTCTGAGGTGTCTGACGTTGACACAACGGTGTTACTTTTAATTTACTCCTTAATGCTCTTCATTTCTCCGTTTAATTAACGGTGGGTCATTAATGGTTATGTCTTGAAGGAAAATATTTTATCATAAATATCTGATTGATCTCTACAATTCTTTATTTTCTCGACACATGCAACCTATTTTTACTAGATACATAAAAGTCAATTACTAATTTTATTCTAAAATCATATTTAGATATGAATTAAATAAACCAAATACTAAATAACTAAGGTTTCCTACTACAACTTGGAATTAGTTTTCCAACATTCTCCCGTAATTCAAAGTTGTATACGTCTGACTTATTCGTTGTGCAGTTATGTTGGGGCACTTCTCTCCGACTCTCAATTTTGATGAAGCGCATGTCTTCATCCCTCGATTTGTTGAAACACCTCTCTTCAACTCATGTTGATGCACTTTGTCACCAACACTCAATTTTTGTTGAAGCACCTGTCTCCAACTCACGTTGATGCACTTTGCACCAACCATTGATGCACTTTGTCACCAACACTCAATTTTTTTTTGTTGAAGTACCTGTCTCCAACAACCATTGATGCACTTTGTCACCAACACCTAATTTTGTTGAAACTCCTGTCTCCAACTCACGTTGATACACTTTGTCACCAACCGTTGGATGCACTTTGTCACCAACACTCAATTTTGTTGAAATACATAATCAACTTCCAACTTTTTTTTAAACCTCTCCAATTTTTAGAGAAGAGTTTCTTAATCTTGTGTCATATTTGTTGCACATGTTTAAACTTATTTTTTTTCTTGAATCTGTCATGAAACTTTTCATCGAATAACCTGATTTTGTCGATAACTATCTATGATTTTGCCAACATATTTTTTTGGACAGACGGGCGGCACTCATTGGCTAGCGCCACCCGCCGGCAGCGGAAGCTACTTGATTCTCTCCCAAAATCGTAGAAGCTCTGATACAAATATGAAGAAAAAATATTTTATTATAAACCAATTCCTAGAAACAGGAAAGCCAATTTCTAGATTTATTCTAAAATTATATTTAGACATAAATTAAATAAACCAAATCCTAAATAACTAAGATTTCCTACTGCAACTTTGAATTAGTTTTCCAACATGTCTTTTTTCCCTATTTGGAATTTAATATCATAAGTAAATGGTTGGTTGGTTTTCATTGAGTTTACAATATCTTTTCTAACTGTTACTGGTTTTTCTTTCAGTTTACATTTTTTTCTAATTTAATTGTGAATCCACCTAAATTGATTTTTCTTCCATATTCCTTTTTATTACTATTCAATAAAGGTATGAATAGAGTATTTAAACCGTTTTTCTTCCAATGTACTCCTACTCCATATCTCTTTTTTCTTTTTCAAATACTTCATGTTTTTAGCTAATTTGCTTTTTTAGTTGGTCTCTGATTTCAATTAGATGGGTTAATCTATGTTCGTAGATGGAGCTATCTACAAATAGGGCTGTATTCTGGGCCGGGATCGGGCCTTCGTGGGCCAAACGGGCCGGGCTTCGTGGGCCTGGGCTTCGTGGGCCTGGGCTCTGGCGGTTCCGGGCTTCGTGGGCTCAACGAGTGGAACCGGTCCGTGATGGGCCTAAGCCCACATGGTCCTGGGCTTAACGGGCCGGGCTCGTGGGCTTCGCGGGCCTAGCAGGTTTTTTTCTTCTTCTTTTAAGGCAATTTCTTGTAGTATCATGGCTATATTAAAAATATATATGTAGATCTAATTATT